TCAAGGATACTTCGACACGTGGCCGGGGATCGAACCAACAACCTTCCGATTGGGGGATGACCCGCTCTGCCTCTGAGCCACAGCCGCCCTTATAACTTATAACTTATAACTCTACTGTTATGACAAATCTAGTTTATGTTTACAACACTGTAAGCTTGCAGTTGGGGGTTTAAACACAAACATGTAAAGTGTTTTTTAAAATTGATACAATATCACTAAACAAAATACTCTGATACAATATTTAACCCAATCTTTAAATCCTTAAATCTTAAATCCAATAATCTGAATTTTAGGCCGTAAAATGTCTAAAATCTGATTTTGACAGGTCTTAAAAATGGACTGTATCAATGTTAACGTTAGTTGTATAATGTTGCATCTTTCAGTCTCACTTTCATGGAGAAATGAACAAATAAACGATGATACAACAAATAGTTGTCTTTAGTCTATTTAATAAAGCAGGCTAACAAAAGTGTTACAGGGTCAATATATTTCAGCTGAAAGGACAGACAAAAAAGGAAACTTTTTGTAATCTTGGGAATCATTGTTAACAGCCATCTCAGCCTTGAGCTCATCACAGCTGAGTCTTATCTGATCTGATCTGCAGCAAAGGAACACACGCAAATGTATCATAGAGAAGTGCATCACTGTTAAATGTATCATACAGTTGGTCATCAGTGTTATTCACATCATAGGTGTACTGAGAAGAAAAACACATTGGCTCGCAATAAAATGCACAAAAATATATGATAAGAGCAAACTTATTATGAATTATGAGTTTTGCTTTAACAGGAACCAATAATGATACATAAAGTAGGTCTTAAATTCCATTCATAATAAGGTCTTAAAAAGGTCTTAAAAAGTAAATTGAACCTACAGAACCCTTGTATTCTAATATCTCCATCACTGCCGCTCATATTGGTCATATAAACTGCTTATAAACCATTATCTCTCTCTGTCTCTGATTACATGTTGCTGGCAGCTGCACTGTTAATATTGTCTGACTGTGGATCCTCTAATACGACTACTGACTCAGTTTGACTTGTTATCTTCATGTCTGCTGATTTCTGACAGCAGGATATTCTTCCTTATGAAACTTGCCCACAAACCGAACAGAACAGGCAGTTTTATATGGTAATTTTAGGGTTGTAGATTATGCTAATGATGGTTGCAGAAATTAGCAATCTACAACACGTTAAGAGAATTTGTGAATGCGACTTTGAACACTTGTATGAGCTAACCTGGCAGGAAAAAGTATGAAAGGGTTTTCAGAGAAAGAAAATGTTCTTGTATTGAGACCCAGTGTGTGTGTATGTTATTTACAGATCCCAGTAGAGGGCGCAGCTCCAGTGGCCCGCCATTCCCACTCAGCGTGTTCACATCAGGGAGGTGTGGTGGTGTTTGGGGGACTAGATGGACGGGGAGTGCCACTGGGGGACACAGTGGTGTTAAGGCCAAATGAGAGAGGCTTCTGCTGGGAAAGAATAGAGGTGCAGCCCCCTCCTGTTCCCAGGTCTGTTGTTTTTCATTGCTTTCACATTCACACACCATCAGTTCATCAAAATAAAACCCTCCACTAAAGAGCTGAAATGACTGGCTTCGTTTCAGGTATTCTCATAGTGCCCATGTGATTGGTGGAAGGCTGGTCGTGGTTGGTGGAGTCTGGCTGCATTCAGATGTACCAGGTGGTGTCATTATCAACCTCACCACACACAGCAGTGTGGAGTTCAGGCTGGACACGGTCAGTTAACATTTATTGGACCTCAGTGTGACGTCACCCATTGGTTTGTGGTCTGGCATTATGGTCATTGCAATGACAGTTAGACAGAGCCAGCGGAGGTGACGTACTGCGAGTTGCGAGCTGCTCTAATTGGCATGTTCTAGTATTACACATAAACATTGTTGAGGTGTATGAAGTGCAGCCTGGAGTCTCTGTTAACAACAACAGAATTGCAGCTGTCTCATCTGAACAAACCAGTTGATTGTGGTGCAGCATTTAGTATAGTTTAGACATCATTCTATAGACTGACTTTCTCTCAGCACCACCATCTGTGACTTCCAACATCCATAAAACACTATTTTTCTGAGCTTTTATCAGATATGTTTGTGACTTTAATCCCAAAGAATATCCAAGTTTTTGGTGAATTTGCAGCTTTAATTTCAGAATATTAACCCCCTGCCCCCTGGCTAAATCTACAGTGGCCTTAATATAATAATTTAAATTCAGTGCCATATACTCTACTGATGCATCAAGTGCTTTATATCAAGTAATTTGTTCATGTTGTGTAGATCAAGACAAGATACTGAATAATACATCTCTCTGTGTTCTTCCATCTTTAGACCTCGGTACCCTGGCCTCTGATGCTCCACTCGTTCTGCTCTGAGCTTACGGACCCAGAGGGACCAGAGGTGCTTCTGATGGGTGGGGGAGGAAACTGTTTCTCTTTTGGGACTCACTTCAACCTTCAGCCTATCACTGTGGACCTCACACCTGTGCTGAGATGAAGTGGCCTCAAGTGTTTGTATGGAACTGTTATGCAGCTGAAATCAATGACTTAAACTAAGGACCCAAACTCTGACCATTAGACATCTCAGACAGGATGAAATGGATAAACCTGGATTATTTAGGACAGTTTCAATAATTCAGGCCTGTTGAAATCTACTGTAGACATAAAATATCCAAAGAAATGCCTCATGTCTGCTTACTGGACAGGATTTTATTTGTGAGACCTCAGTTCGAAATTACAAAATAGTCAATCAAAATTATAGTCATAGCAGGTCGTTTTCTTTGAAGGTTTTGGATGGAGGTTAAATCATTCAGTGAAGCGCCTGAAGGACTGGACCGTGGGACAGACGGCACCCCAGTCGCCAGGCTGGCGGTACTCCCCCTTCTCCAGGAAGTACTGGCGCCCACGGTAGTTGGAGTGCTCATAGAAAACCCACCAGCCGTCGAAGACTTTGCAGGAGTTGACCTCCCTCCAGCTGTACTTCTCCAGAAGCGAGGGGCAGTCCTCTGTGGCCTCGAAGACCTGGCCCCCGAAGTCTGCCTTCTCATACAGCTGCATCTTGTACTGGGTCCCGCTGGTCTGGAAGGTGACGGGAGGGAGATGTTTGGGGGTATGGGAGTAGATGTCGGGGTTAAAGTGGAGGATAGGTGGAGAGCGGTGGTTAGTGCAGGGGGTTGGGGAAGAATGGTGAGGGGATGTGGGGTAAGAGAAACGGGGAAGGGGGGATATGTAGAGGGATTAGATTTGCATCTAATAAAAGGAAAATATGTTAGCAGCGCTCCATGTTTAATTGAGCCTTCTTAAGTCCCGCCCCTTTTTATATATAATAATAACATTTAAGCCTCAGTCAGAGCCTCAGTTTTTTTTAGATATGCTATGTGCTAGGCTAATCTGTGTTAAAAAGACATTCTGAAGATGATTAAAAGATAAAAGCAACATATATAGTATATATACGTAGTCACATCTTAACTTAGCTAATGTTAGCAAAATGCTAGCTAACAAGCTAGCTAATCTAAAGCAGTTGGTTGCTAGCTAATTAGGTATGGTTTTGCTAACGTTACCTGTCAGATGGAACTAGTTAGATTCCCATGAGAGCAGCCCCTCCAGGTACTTTGGGATTGCGTCATGTCCCCAACACCTTTTAGGTGAAAGCAGTCCTTCTAATTTGACTGATGCTTAATGTAAACTCTAAGCTCTTTGCCAGTTTTTTTTTTGTCATTGCGATGTTGTTTTAAAGAAAACATGCAGAAACGGGTTGATTTAATCCTTTTGAGTCTGCCTCCATCAATAGACGGACCTGACGCATACACCTACCTTTGAATCTCATATTTCTGACATCTGACACTTTGCCTGCAGTTTCAATGTGACGTTACTGTAAACTAATTACATCGCTGTGGTGAAGCCAAACTGCCATTTGTGTTTATTCAACCTTTTACTACGAAAACCAAACCAAACTCCATTCTAAAAGCGGGTGTTTAATGGTGGACCCATATTTGTTCACAGTGAAAAGTCTAGTTCCACCATCACTACTGATTACTTTCTGATTCTCTTCAATCCACAGACACACTCGGCACACGTCATTTACTCAGTAACATCATTAACTAACCTGTGATAAAGTGTTTGCCACAGACGAACACATGCTGTGATACCCACAGTTTATCATTTTAAGTTCCCATCACGGTGATCTGGCTCGATCTACCACATCAATGAGATAACTGACTTTAATCAAACACAGTCCCTCGTTGTTTGCTCACTGTTTCATGCCTTTCTAAATAGTACAAAACTGTACCATGCAGCTTGTACCAACTATATTGATTTTTGTACGAGTGGTGTCCCTGAATGTGGCTGCAGGCTGTGGGACATTTGATCATACAAAAAGCCTGACCCAGGTATTGGTTTACATTGACAAAGCCCTACAGTCACTGCGAGCATTAGCATGACCTGTCCATAAGTCCCCCCCCCCCCCCCGCCTGCATACACTGTTGCTTTTAAATAAACTAACTTCTGAGTCATAAACCTCAAGATCACAAAGTCAGCCCCCTGTGCTCCTCAGCAGAGGGAAAACCCTCAGCATCATCAGCGGAGCTTACAAAGTGGATCATCTTGCAGGAGCTGAGACGGTCGTTGAGGCCAATCCAGCTCTGGTAGTCGGGGTACTCGCCTCTGGTCAGGACATACTGGTAGCCCATGTAGTTGGGCCTCTCGTACACCACCCAGGCCCCGCTCTCCACCCGGATGGAGTTGCAGCGGTTCAGGTAGGTGTGGAAGTCAGAGCAGTCGCTGTCGCATTCATAGCGACGGCCCTGGAAGTTCTTGTCCTCGTAGAAGACGATCTGGGGGAGAAAACACGGGAGTCTCAGCTCTCATCAGATTTCACATGATCTGCGTTATGTTCTCTTTCCTGGGTAGTTCATCTTAGAAAGGTCAAAGTGGTTGTCTTTGTCACTCACACTTTACAAAAAGCTTTTCTGACTTTGGAAAGCATCCTTTTGGCAATGTTTTCTCAACAGGCGGTGCAGCTTTAACTTCTAGCCATCAAAAAACTAGCCTGTCGAGTCAACAACTCAGAGACTCACCTGCAAACTAGGGCTGCAACTAGCGATTATTTTCATTATCATCAATACATCAGTTTCTCAATCAATCAGTTAGTTATTTGGTACATAACATGTTACAAAAATGATCAGTATTCCCCAAAGCCCAAGGTGGCGTTCTCAAGTGTCTTGTTTTGTCCACAACCCAAAGATATCCAGTTCAGCAGAAAAATAAAATCCCATTTTAGGAGCTGAAATCAGAGAATTTGGATAATAAATCGATGATCATAATAGTTGACTAATTGTTCCTCACCTGCAAACCAAATTGAAATAGGTTCAAAGTCCCCACAGAGAGGGTCATATACAGCCTTGTCCAATGCTTAAAGCCACACATTCAAACTTAGCATACATGCCACAGTGATATCTGACTCTATGTCAGTGCCACTCTCACTTTGTCTCAACTCACCCTGCCCATCCTGGATATATGTGTGGTGTTAAGTGATGGTGGTTCCCCTGAGGTCTCGATGTTGCACTGGCCCCCTCACCGGTCCCTTTTATATCCCCGCTTTCCCACATTTATAAACAGCAACAGCGAAGCGACAGGAGAACAATCGCTTTGTCATGAAAATGAGATCCAAAAATTGAGTCAGTGATTCTAGTGCTATTCAGTTTTTCCAGAAAAGCGAGGAAGGATTACGGCATAATGGCCAGGCATGGTAAGCGTCCATTGAACCCCACTTCTCTACTGGCTGGGTCCAGTGCCCAATCCCCCACCCCACACACACCCCCGCTCCAGCTCTCGCACCATGTTATACATGCCAGCTCCACCAGTTTGCTCTCACCTGTTGAGGACCTGCCAACTCATGACTTATCCCTGCCTTGTGGAAGAATCCAGATAGAGCAGTGTACAGTGGGAAGAAGTATTCAGATCTTTTACTTAAGTTAAACTAGCAATACCATATAGATATACTATATATTATAAATAAACTTCTTCCAAAATCTCACTGGAATAAAAGTACAGAAATATATGTATGGGTCAAAAGAAGAAAAAAAGGGCCCTGGTTGGTATATTCTTATATATTGTGATATATATTGCTATATTTAAGTGTGTTGGACTGAATGGCATCTAGTGGTGAAGTTGCAGATTGTGTAGAAGTGTGTAGGAGAAACTACAGTGGCCCTATTCACAGCCAGTGTTTGGTTTGTTCATTCTGGGCTACTGTAGAAACAACATGGCCGACTTTATAGATAAAAAAGGATCATTCTAAGATAACAAATATAATGATTCTTATTAGTATTCAGGTACCTACACTACTAAAAACATACCTAATTCTATATACAGCTTCAATTTCTGACAATAGATCCTATTGGATTATCTTTCAAGCACTTTTTTACCTTTGTATGTGGTCAATGTTAAACAAATTTTACATACTGGTTATAAATATATTCATCATATTGCATTAGCTCATTATACATTTTGTATGTATAGTGTGTCCGACTCAGTGAAGAAAAGCATCCGCACACTCAAATCTGTGCAAAAATCTTACTTATTCTTTCAGTCAGACACCTTAAAGACAAAAACGGGCAGCAAGTGAATGCAGCAGTGCACAGAGAGCATTACTTGATTATCCTTAATGCAGAAGAATCAGTTAAGCTTCTGTGGCTGGACATCAAGGGAACTGTAGTCCTGGGTATGATGGACTACAAGTTAAACAAAGTGTTGTTGTGCTGTGAATAATCTATGACAGACTCTATGTGCTATGTTTGATGATTGCTGAAACCTGGTGTGTACATAGCATCTATCGCTATTGTTGCATATCGATATATCGATATACTTGTGTTACTTGACTGTCGCTATAGGCTTTAACTTGTAGTCCATCATTCCCAGGACTACAGTTCCCTTGGTGTCTAGCCACACATGTTCGACGGAGTGTTCTGCAGAAAGCTGACAGAATAACTAAGATGTTTGCACAGATTAGATCTGATACCAGATGAGCGATGTATTTTTCTGTGTGTAAAATGAGTAACAGCCAGTGTTGGGCAGTAACTCATTAACATACTAATTTGAAATCCAACAATCCAATCACATCCTTGGATTCATTTTTGTAATCATGGAGGAAATTAGTTTGGAAGATAGAATCACTGACATTCAGCAGCTGGAAATATTCCATTATTCAGATTTTTGTTTTAAGTCTGAATTTTGGGGAGAAAGGACACAAATACTGATTTGTGCGGAGTAGCAGAAAATTGATATAACTAGTAGTGTAACTAATTACTGTTGGCAGGGAGTAATAACTAAAGTAATAATATTACTTTTGAAAGAATTAATGAGCTTTTTTGAGTAACTATCCCAACACATGTATATTAGTGTATATTATTTTAAATTATTTTAAAATTATTTAATACATTCTTGACACGCACCATTTTATTATATATATATATATATATATTTATTATATACATATTTAGTTTGAATACACTTTAAGTACATTAAAATAATTTATACTATTGAAGTTTTGGAAGCTCAAATCCCAAAAATGTCAGGCGGTGCAGCCGTTCGTACAAGTCAACACACTAAAAAACATATTAAAAATCCTATTTAATGGTAATAAGTTCAATAGTAAAATACCATTGCATGATTCTATGTTTGAAACATTTCAAATAAACCAAATTTTACAAATACCAATCATTTAAAAGCTGTTGAGACAACTGAAAAACTTTTGTCCAGCAGTTTGAATGTTATCAAATGTCAGGGTGGCATAACCGTACCTACCATATTATTTTGAAGTGAACAGGTTGTAAACGTTAACAGGATATTGCATCAAGCAGACCCCAAGTGCCCTTTATGGCTGGTGAAAAAGTTTGTAGATCTCTCTAAAATGGTGACAGAAATAGCTACTTTCAACTCATCGTTTGGCTGGTACCATGTCAGCTGGTAGAACCAAAGTAGGAAAATTTTATTTTATCATAAATTTCACAATTTAAAATGTATATGTATGAACTTGTTGGCAAAGCCAAAACCTAACACAAGTGTCAAAGTAGGAGTGTTTCATTTGAAATTAGTTCCAAAGTCAGGGGCGCAACTGCAGAGACTGTCACTGTATGATCTATAGTGGCAAACACATGTAGTGGGGTAACAAGTATTTCCTTGTGAAATGTAACAGAGCATGAAGTGGCTTCAAATAGGAATACTAAAGTAAAATACACAAATAAGTCATGGTTTTACTAAAGTGTAAGTTGTGCTAGTCACATTCCACAACTGGCAGCGTTGCATAACCACAGTTACAACAAATAGTAGAGTTTGTGTTATGATTGGAATTCATGCATTTCAATGTAAAGCTGCTGTGTCCAAAGGTAAAGACAGAATCTAAAATATCCAAAACAATAAGCAAGAGGATTATTGTCAAAACCTTTAATTCATTTTTATTTATTTTTAATATTCAATACAAACTATATTGTGCTCTTCATATGGTAGCTGCATAGAGGTGCATGTGTTCAGATCAGAGGGTATGTTTTTCCAAGTAAACAACAGCAGTAAGACATTTTACAGTGTAATCAGTAAGGCTACGTTCACACTGCTCGCACAAGTGACCCAAATCTGATTTTTTTTTGCTCATATGTGACTCAGATCTGTTCTTTCATGACAGTGTGAACGGCACAAATCACATGGAATCTGATCTTTTCAATTCTGATTCAGGTCACTTTCATATGTGGTCTAAATCAGATACAGGTCTGATTTTTAAGTGATTCATGTCACTTTTACATCACTCTAGATTAAAGAATGTGGGCCACATTTAACAAATAATGTCAACAGCCAAACAAAAAAAATCTGAATTGAGTTTTAAGGCTTGCAGTGTGAAAGTATCCTTACACCTTGAAAATGAATGACACATCCCAGCATTTTGAAAGCTTTTACAGTAAGTTCATCTTCCCTTAACTTCCTAAATCCAATAAAAGCTGCCCTGAAGACTCGTGCAGCGGTTCCGTTGTATGTAATGTATATCACAGTCTGTGAAAATGTAGCACGCTGTAATGAGTCTGAAGTACACTTGGAGGTATTAAATTCTAAAAATTGTAATGGAGAAAAATAATCTTTGTATAATTTTACATATTCATACAGGTGAGTTCATAGAAAAACATAAATACATTTAGGCAACATCTGGCCACAAACTCACCAAAAGTTTGTTAAATTTGACCTCGTTTGGCACCTCAGCAAATCAGCTATTTCGGTTGCAAGTGCAATAATAATTGTTGCTACACTCATGTTGCACTCATGGCCACGCCACAGTCACTGTCAGGGCAAATATTTCATTTTGACAGCTAGTAAAAAAACACCTACAGTGAATAACAATTGTTGGGGGTGTGGCAAAACAAACAACATGGATTAAGACTCAGCCCGTGGAGAGAGGCGTAGCAAAAGGTACTGCTGACTTACCCCCTTATAAAATGTGACAGGTAAGCTCGAGCGGTGCAATCACAGACCTACAATAAATGATGTCCTTCCTTTTCTTCCTAATGGAAAACGCTTGATTGCTATTTTTTAAACACTAGGAATTCTATAACCTGAGTAGGTAACTGTACTAACATGTCCTTAATACCCAAAGTGCTAAATTGATTTATCAACTACACTGTCCATCTTTAGATGCATGTGTCAGCATCGCTTACTGAGAATATACTTTTTAAAAATAGCGTGTAGTTTACATATGTGGGAAGAAATGGTACTCCAGACTTTATGGTGATCACGGTTTTCTGAGCCAGTCTCCATGTTTAATATTTTTCGCAAGAACGTAAGCAGATTGTAGCCCTCAAACTGCATATCTTAATGTAGGTTTTCGAAATTATTATTACATTAAAGAGCTATTTAGGCTTCAGGAGAACACTGGCACTGTCAGCCTGTCACAGTCAGTGCCATGTCCTTGTTCCTCCTCAGCTGCACCCACGTCATTCAACTACATTTGTATTTCCTGTCTCCAAAAGATGACATTTAGCAGTAAACCCAAATCCAAGCTTTTTTTGTCCCTTTAAAACCCTGTGGTTACTTCACAATGCTACACCCTGTTTTTCAAAAGAGCAGTGCTTGGGATGTCGTTTTACAACATGCCAATCCACTCCCTCCTTGGCTAAGACAGGTTAATGACTTAGCCTTTTCTTAAGAAGGACCAGTAAAGCAGCACGAACTGGCCTTCCACTCAAGGATGAGTGGGACATAAGTTGCTATAAATGCTGCATCAACAGCTCTAGACTGGCTAGAGTAAGGTGTAAATAACCACAAACATACGGCACAAACATACTCGTCTGTTTGTTAAGAACTAACAGGAGCTTCAAAGGTCACTATGACCACAGGTCACCTGTATGTGTGCACTGTCACACTACGTTCATTTACGAGTACAATTATCCTGCTGGCTAACAAGTGTAAGCCAACAATTCAACAGGCCATAGGTGACTGTCCAACTGTCCGTCCAGTCCTCATATGTTTGGTATCGTTAACTCGGGGCCTGTCTGTTGCAGGCCCATCAGTAGAGTCCTTTAAGGAGGCTATTGTGGTTGGGATAAGGCTGTCGAGTTCCTGCCTGTGCCCCGTTTCCAGAAGCCACTCATGGAACTTGACCTCCACCAGCTCCTGGAACTGCCGCTTCTGCTCCCTGGAGAACACAGAAATGAGAAATCAGTTAGAACAGAAAAAGAAACAGTACAGAGCAGGGAAGAGGCGGGCTGTGGATGAGATTAGTGTTAAAGCACTGTAATGTAGAAATCAATCTACGATGAGTTCCCCGTGCTGTCAGGGTCAGGTAGAGAGTAGAGCCCCCTCGAGCAAGTTTTCGGACACCAATGCCATCACTGAACTCCACAATATCTCTCCAGCTGAGCAGCTAACTCACATTCTAATTGATTTTTGGAATGGCTGTTCCGTTCTAACTTTCCACTGATTAAAATAGCACACTGGACAAGCGAATGGTAAAACTTATGTTCATACATGTAGGCATGGGATGATATGACAATATCACACAATTATCTTGGCCATAACAAGTGTGATTCACAATATTATCGTGATAATCATCAAAATATGCTTTAAATGCCCCAAAAACATACTGTACACTTAAACAAGGTCCAAAATTAACTTGAATGTTTAAATTTTACCAGCCGCTCAATATTTAACCATTGGGGTTTTTTTGGCCACTTTTTGCCCTGACCTAGCTTACATTTGGTTAAACAAATAGTGTTCTGTGCATCTCCCTGCCGTTCTTTAGTTTGGAATCTGTAGTATTTCCAATCATCCGGTTTAACCTGTATTTGTTGGGATACAATGGACCAACTGAGCCTTTAGCCATGTTCAGATGACCGAGTGTTGAAGTGCTATTAAATCTTTAGATCTTAACTTTTTACATTTTTACACAAATATCTATATTGATAGATTATTTTAGTTGAAGGCATTGTATAGGAATTATTGATGTTGCATCTTTGTACGCCTTCACAGACGTAAAGTGAGGAAAATGACGTAAAAGCTGCAACAAGAATTTGGAGCTTAGCACAGAAACAGCTGATAGAAATGTCCTTCAGAGAAACCAAGAGTTGTACTCTTATAGTGATTTTTTCAGTTCTGATTTGGTCCACCTTTACGATACGTGTTTTTTTTTTTGTTTTTTTTTACACAATTATCTGTTCTTCTACTTGAGTAAAGAATGTGTGCACTTGTCACCTCTTTTTTTATTAGGAATTATTAATAATGGTGTGAAGAGGGCCGGACTCACTTGTTCAGCCGGGCCTCCATCACAGTCTTCTGCCAGTTCTGAATCCTCTTCTGCTTTTCATCCAGTGCTGCCTGATACGCAGGAGGCAATCCCCCTGGCACCTCACACGTGTCCCCTTCCATCTGGAAAGGCACGAGCAGTGTTTGAAACTCAGCCGGGGGCAGCAGGCGGTAACAGGCGGTATCTGGGTTGGACGACACGTTGAGGGAGGGGTTGACGAGGCCCTCGCTCCCCAGAAGCAAGGGTTGATCCCAGGCATTGGGGACCACAGCCAGCCCCGCACTGGCCATATGATCCTCCATGGAGGGGTAGAACGTGTGGAAGGGCCCCAGTGTTATGTCTGTGTTTCCAGGTAGAAGCAAGGGGCGGGTGGGCGTCAAGGCGTGGATGGTGCAACACGAGGAGGCTCCGACAGCGACCCTGCCAGCCACGCACACCACCCGCACGTTCTGACAGCTGTGGATGTGGATGCTGGTCTCAACAGGACCCAGGACCACTGTGCTGTCACGGCATTTGTCAACACTGACAGATCTGAAGGAGCATAAATGACAAAAACCATGGGAGATGAACTGAGTCTACAGCACAGCTTATACTAACGGAAGCTACCCTACCTGAGAGGTGACAGAAGGTATATGAAGGCGTCTGAGCATCTGTGGATTTTGATGTTGGCACCGGTCAGTTTGTCTGAGGTTTTAGCCAGGGTCTGTTTGAAGACTTGCGACATCAGCACCATCTTACTGCCGGGTGGAGCCATGTGGGTGTTACGAGCTATTTTGGCTCTCTTCATGGCCCCCTCCACTGGAATGCAGAGAACAAGTAGTCAAATAAATGTAAACAGACAAAGTTGGAAATAGAAATGAACCAAATTTGCATATTCATAGATTCCAGAATTTTTAATGAGGGATACGGAGTAAATTACTTTTTTTTTTTGCAAAAATAAAAACATATTAGAAACACATCATTGTCCCAAGCTGATTATTTGTATAAATGTCCTAATACATGATCTTTACCACCCATACAACCCTGATAATAATTCTGTTAGAGGTAGAAACACAACACTTGCTGTGGAAACTGTCAACACATGTGGCTACACATGACAAAATCAAAACTTTTGATTTCACATATGTATATTTCATTTTCTTGTAAAAACGCAATCGAAAACAAATCTCAAAATTAGGTTTAACATTCATTTGACATGTTAAATATCTGATTTTCACTGGATTAAAGCATGTATTATTGAAATTGAATAGTGTGAGAATGTGATATAACTCCTTACAGATTTTGAGATACACCCATTTATGTAACATACTATATTTTGTCACTAAAGGTTAAATGATCAAATTCCACTGTGGACATTATTGGGTTAAGGATACCTTGTTGAGCCCAGGCTAGTTTCTTGCCTGAGCGCAGGCAGGCGGTTATCCCAAAGGGGTTGAGTGTGAGGTTGTGGTGGAGACAGGACAGCAGCTTGTGCAGGGGGAAGGAGTGGCTGAGCGTGGAGTAGCCAGCTTGTGTCTGGAGTGGACCTTTGGTCAGCAGCCTGTGGACGGGCTGAACAGCTCTGCCGTGGCAAACCGAACCCTCCAGGAGCAGGCCCAGGCTCCGCACAGCCTCCAGTGATATCTGGCAAAACAAAGTGTAAAATGTGCTACAATGCATCATAACATGTGAATGGTCATTCGTATTAGAGGTTCATTTCAGTCAAAATTTTTAAAAAATCTGATGATTATGATTATAGCAGCAAAACATACAGTAGCTGTTCCATAAGCAAAGATCAAAAAGTAATATGCGTCATCACCCTAAAACAAGTTAAAAATCCTCAAACTAAATCCCCTATTTGAATAAATTGTTTGTGAGTCATGGCGGTTACGTTCTAAAGCACAAATAAACATGGCCGCAACTCTGCACAACTGTGAGAAGGAGCCAAATTCCAAAAATCTTGTTACCTACACAGCATTCAGTAGGTTGATTTAGAACTGTAAACATTTTGAACACAGCTTTAAACTATTTTTTACAGCCCTAGAAATAAAATGTGACACTAAGTGTGCTGACTGTCCACAGACCTGGCAATCTCTAAGGGCCTGTCCAGATTGTGACAGTTGACCTGGCTCCACCAGCAGCTCCAGAATCTCAGCTAGATGGCTTTGCACAAATGACAGGTGGGCCTGATCGTCCCAGTTCTGCTGAAGCAAACAGAAACAGCGGCAGAACTGTGAGCGCCACATCACAAAGGACGGAGCAATGACAATAACATTTAAACTTAATAATGTAGATGCTTTGCACTGGGCAAAAAATAATGTGATCAGGCTGTATTTTGGCCTTCACAGGAACAAGGACCTTGTTCTGCGAGCTAGTCTTAGCCTCTCGGTCTGATGGAGAGGGGGAGCGAGTACGATGACTGGGCCACTCTTCACCAATCAGAGAGGTGCGTAGAGACACACGGTTGAGCTGCTGGATGTAGAGGAAGAGGAGGAACTGCAGTGTGTCCACAGACAACTGGAATGAACAGGAGAGAAAGAAACAAGGGGTGAATATCAATGTCGAGTCAAATGTGAGAGCAGGGTTGCAGCAACATTAACCTCAGCCTGGGGCAAAACACAACAATACAATGAGCAGCACACCCTCATGATAGAGTCAGAGCTGACAGTTATCTGAGACAATGAGCTAGTATTACATTCTTAGGTAAACTGACCTATTCTTTAACTACATTTTTTTTTTTTTACCTTGTTCCTTTGTTGGTCCAGCTCGCTTTTGGAAGAGCACTGGGAAAGACACTCTGCCCACTCCAGCCTCTCCTCTGGAGTGTGGCCTATGAGAAGGTCAAAGGTCTCGAAGTAGAGCCATGCAATGTCCTCTGGAAGCTGTAGCTTTCCACAGGCAATATGCCTCCACATGGGCCAGCCCAAGATGGGGAAGCAGCCATCCCGTGTTCTCACATAGATCGCCATCTTGCGAAGATAGTGCAGGCTGAGCTTGGAGGGGGGAGCCACCTATAATTGCATCGACGTCAAATTATTTGACAGCATTTACATCCACGGGAGAATATCATTACATTAAATAGATGGGAAGAGCGTATTCACCTGCAGTGCACCCAGTAAGAAGGGTTCCATGCGCGGCCATATGCTCACACTGTCCGACTCCATGTCTAAAGAGAAAGGAAACATGTCGGACACACAGTTCAATTGCAAATCAAATATGTGAAATTGGAATGAAGAATAAATCGGGATACTCTTTTCAAACAGCAACCGATACTTTCTATTTTTAACTTTGCTTGTTTGACGTCCTGCATCGATCCCGTCAGTAGATGTATCAGGGTGCAAATACATCAGTTTCACTTTTACAGAGAAACGGGAATACCATCAAACTTCAATTAACAGCAGGATCCCAATTAAAGGCAGGTCTGCTTTATCAGCTTGGTGTGGCTACACATTCTGAACAATGAAGGCAGGTCTCAATTAGAGGACTGGTCTGGATTTCATAGAAGCTCTCTGGATGTATAAACCCCTTCAAAGCCCACCGGGTCGCCCGCTTAAGTAAGATCTAAGCAGCTTAGTTCGCCTACACAAATGTTAAATATTTTGTCAATATGAACATGCTACACATCGGTACATTGGTTAGATTCTCCACAATTTAATCATTCATTTAATTTTACAGAAACCATGCCAAAACGTTGGTTATTCTCTATAGGGAAAATTTTCTCTCTCTGCTCACAAAAATTAAACAAGGCCCATAGCTCCTGCGGCGGTAATGTGCTGCCAACTTCGCTAGTCTGACGAATTGGCAACAAACATTAGAAATTTGAACTATTGGGTTAATTATGGAGATATTGAGGTCCCTCACAGGTCGCAAACGGCGAGCATACTGTGGCCTTAAGGCCTTTCCCACTTACTCTTTCCCCAGCTAAAAAGGACTTGATAGCATTCACAACTCTGCTGGCCAGGAGGTTGATACTG